GGAAAACCAAGAACATCTAAGACCTGTTAGTATAACGCAAATTATATACACCTTCATAAATCCACTCGCGTTTATTCTGAATTTTCAACTGAAATTCATTTCACTCAGCGGAACTAAGTGACTGTCGGTAAAATATACTGACAAACTGATTTCCATTCACTTCAGATATTCGAGTTGTTCATATTCATAGGATGTAATTCACAACGATTTTCCCACTATTGGATATTCATTGAAAACTGTGTGGGACAGAAGACTTTGTTTCACACTAGTGTGGCATTCTCCTACAGGCATCTGACACCAGTGGGAATTGAGAAATGATGACTGGCGTGATATTCAGCTGATGGATATGTGGTGGTGGCTGGAATGACGAGGTAGGATAAAGTTGAACTCATGCGTGAGTTAAGATTTTCCTTGATGCTAGAAATGACACTAAATGGAACTTTATTGAGGAATTATTTTGACACGGAATGGCACGAAAAGTTGTCCACATGGTTAACATTTTAGATAGTAGACGCGACCATTTAAGTCTGCATGAATCAGTATGGGGCCGCTGATTAGGAGCTAATGGAAAAGCGAAAGTGTTTCTCATTTTGTTTATAAACAATCGTTGCGAACGTGGTATCACTTCTTTCCGTATGTTATAGACTAAACAATTATCTTTTTGTTCGTACCGAATGTTTTCCTCTGTTCATTCCCCACCTTATCACTTACAATATTCATGGTAAATACAGTTTCAGAATTCAATCTGGATTACTCAGCTATTGTTGATTGATAAATCAGTAGACACTGCCACCAACCCTAATTACTTTGTCAAGGACGAATATGACGCCAACAGTTAGATGAGCATGAATCATTCCTTTTGGACTGAATTATCAGCTCTAATGTATTGTGTTCTTGCTACAGCAATGCAGAAGTTCTGTGTCTTGAATATGTCGTTGATCAAGTTTCCAGTGTATACTGATATTGTAAACGTCCTTATCAGTGTAACAGACTGCATCATCTCTATGCACAGCAAATTATTCAAAGTTTTACATGGATTTTTTTAAACAACGTCGACTCCTAAAAGCAGCACGATTAATATAACTCAAAAATATTGTTCAATATATACTAAGGTGAATGTGACAGACAAAAGATTTCAGCAAGCACATCACAATTCTCACTCTGTTTTCAAATAGAATACATGATTTTTTCGAAATTGCAAACTGTCAGCCTGAATCATAATAGTGAAAATAAAATATGAATGTGTTTCACAGAGCATCTCCAACATTACCCATCACATAATCGAACTAGTTCGACACTGAATTAGCACAAGTGGATGTAAAATTTCTTGATATCTTTGGCATGATGTGCAAAACACATAATCGCTTCTGGTTTCTAAAGTTAATGTGTTCAGAAGAACGTTTTCCTGTAAACACACATGATGATCAGAAGTGTCCAAATCGATTTCACTATTAACGGTTCGAAAAAATGTGGACATTAGGAATGAACTATTCGTCATTATTACTCATTTCAATTTTGTGCAGTTTTGTTCTTTGATTGCAATTCACTCGAATATAAACCCTCCTTATTTTAAACTGATGGACGAATATCAGCCTACCAAATACGCTTATTTACGTTTTAATGTGGCATCAGCACAACGTATATAAGTGCGGTCACACCAGTGTTCTTGTGCCGCAAACAAATACTCACATACACATTCACATACCGCAATGATGATTGTGAATCTTGTCTGCATTTGCGTGGTTAGTGGATTGTTGTGAACTTTTATTTTCCACTGTTCAATAATTGAAGACATTTAGTTTATATTTTACTTTTTAACTATTGTATTTTACTAATGAGTACACATTGCGTACGATTCATAATAATGAGAAATTGTTTGACAGAAGTTGTAGATGTGACGAGGTGATCACAAGTGAATCCATAAATATAAATTTCGATACGAAGAATTCGTGAAGGGATTTGGATTTTCTTATTCTGGAAAGATTGACCGATATTTTCTATTTTATTGTATTCATTATGCAGTTTACTTTTTGTTTGAGATAAGGTATTCATTGCGAATGATTGATTTATCCAAACGCACTGACCATTGCGAAGTTGCTTCTCATTCTTTCATTGTATTTTATGTCTCACTGACATTCACGGACAAGTGATAATAAACTGATGAAAGTAACATTAAGCCTGAAGACACAGTTATGTCAACTCTGAAACTTGGTCATGAGTCAATAAAGAACACTTTTCTATTAATCCGATACATGAGTTAACTAGTTTTTTGAATATCTGAAGGGACATTCGACCTTGCCCCAATAAACTACTGAAGAGAACTAGAATTTTACGCTGTAACAGAATAAGTGTTCGTTTAATCCATACCGAAATATCAAGTTACAATATGTATGCTCACTTAAATGTTTGCAGTAATTTTATAATTAACACTCTATTTTTCTGGCGTTTGCATATCACGTGTCCATTAAATCCAAACTGATTGTCTTTCTTCCTGTTTAATCACTATTTTTAATCATTTTCTCTGAGGCCGTGTGATGACAACTGCGATTTTGTTTGAGCGGCTCAATGTTGTTTCGCCACTAAGCTGTCTGTAAGAACTATTTAATGTTTGAGTCTTGTATAGACAGTTTTATTCCCACTTTGTGGTAAACATTCTCTATGATTTTTAGGTACTTCCCAGAGTTAATTTCGATTCATTCATTTTGGCTGAGACCTAATTTCGTCTGTGACACTGTTTAGTCAATTTAGTCTTTTCAAATATTATTTTGAGTATTGAAAGATACTGCTGATCGCATTACATATAATTGTCTTTTTGCATTCTGTGGTCGGCCATACAGTAGGCCACATAGATTGATCTTCTGCGTTCAGGTCATGTGATATTCACTCATTGATGATAGTTGGCTGAATGGATACATCAAATATAGAAAGTCAAAACATTGGATTCAATGAAGTGTCTATGCAGGGTTATCGTCAACAACTTACCAACGTGAAAATGTAAAAATAATCTGATGCTGAAGGACGACTATTAAATTACTGTGTAAAATCTGAAATTTTGGTTTGGTTCAATTATATCTGTTTATTCCCCCTATGTAATGTGCTTCAGTTTCTACAATTCGCCAGATGTACTTCAACTTAGCTGCACATTGAAATGAGCAAGTTTACAGACACACTTATATGACTTGTGTCAGCTAATTCAATACTATGTCAACGGCTTACTGATGATTGTCTTCAAGTAATTAACAGAATAATGAATGTATTTCATCTGCTCACACGGAAGGGTATTTGAAATTCATCCACCTCGTCTTTATGTTGCCGATTCTGTGGCTTAGAGAACTTAGTTGAATAAAACAATCATCTGCATTTTAACTGTGTATTTGCTCTGAAAGTTTCTCAAGAAAAAGTGACAACATATTTGCAGGCTCTTGTTATCCAGCTAACTTCAGCGAATCGAAGTTTAGTCTGGAATGCCTAAGTGAACTTTTTCGTGCTGGTCAAACAAGGTGATGATATTTATTACATTTGGTTCACTTGATAAATTTCGATAGAGAAAGAAAGATCAGTTTTGCAGTATAAAATGATATCATTCTATTTCACTGGTTCTCATCATCTGGAGACTAGCGGAAATTAAAATCGTGATATAGATGGTAATAACATACTCAACTGTTAAATTAGTAGTAGAAAAGAAATATTTTGAAACTGGCGAATCCAAAATGCAATCAATACTATATTTAGTTTAAATTTTTATCGTCAATTTATACATTTTCAAAGATGAAAGGCGGGGGGACGGGTAAGACATAAAACAGAAAAACAACAAAAGGTGTTAGTATCTAAGTCCACATAGCGACTGAAGTTAGAACTAAACGCACTGACGATATCGACCACAATCATACCACAAACATCCACAGTAAGCGAATATGTTAGTCGACCTGAAAATGTTTTGTTTCCTTTCATATATCTTTGATCTATGAATTCATCGCTTTTCATCAAATAAAACTACAAGGTTCATAATAAAAAAGTTTAAGTCGTTATCTTAAGCATTACTTGGCTATGGATGCGAATAAATGATTATGCCCACAAGTAAATAAGTCTTTGACGTGAATAGAAATCTTTGTTTGAAATCATTTAACACTTCATCATAAGTGTAAAAAATATACGAATCAAAGTTTACAGAATGAAATGGATATATTAGCACGATAATTTAGCATTTGTTTTAACGAATCTTATAACATCGAGTGATAGATGGCTTTCGTTTCACAGGTTAGCTGTTCAATTATTTCGATTTTTCGCTAGTATCGTTATTTGTGATAAGTCTCAAGATTTAAAATGCTTCATTCTGCGTGTAATCGTGGGTCTTCTAATTTTATGATACCATCGTTTATGAGGTACAATACTTGATGTCAATCTCGAGCAGTGATCACAACATCAGAGAAATGTTAATTTGAAAGAGAAGCATTTTCTTTTAATCTCAGTTATCTTTCATTTTGTATATTATTGGTATCCTATTCAATAAATTTAATTAAACTATAGTGGAACATAAATGAACACGGATCGAAAAAGTTAAATCAAACTGTATTGCTCATTAACATTCTGAACATGTAATATACGTGAGCAGCGTTTACTAGAAGCCTTATTGTAGTAAACTGAAATGTTTAATCCAATTACTAACGGTTGCTATATTTCCATGTACATATACCGATACTTATTTCTAGGCGAATATATTGAATTTTATGTATCTGGTTATTCTGTGTTTGTTTAATATGGATTCTAGATAATGTGGGTTTCGTAGGATGTGAAATTGTCATGAAGGCATCGCGTTATACCTTAATGCATCAAACATTCATGCTGAAAAGTTTGACATCACAATCCATGGGTTTCGTATATGTCTGTAGCCATCACGAACAACAAGCATTTATAACAGCTTTATCAATTTACTTGCTATAAATTGTGTGTAAATATTCTGAATAATGACTTTTTTTAATGAATCTATTATTATTATTCAGGTGGGAGAAATGATTCAATCCGAGTGGAAAGATTATGCAGCACTCTCGTGTCAGTAAGTCTGGATTTCTATTACCTTTCAAATTAAAACTAATAGTAGTAGATAATCGTCCATATATTTATATCAAGTTCTGATTTTAATCTCAAAAACGTAACGTCCAGCTACGAAGAACTAGAGCCATGAACTGAAGTCAGCTAATGACCTAAGTGATGGATCTTATTTCATATGGGTTTCTATTTACGTATAAGGATATGTTGCACCTTAAACGTTCATGGTCCGTCATATCGTATTAGGCCTATCTATATGACTAAAACTATGTGGTTATGTTCTTAACGATTAGTCATTGTTTCGCTAATACTTCAAATTCCACCCACACGACATCTTCGAAAGCAACTTGAGAATAATGACTAACAGATACTTAAGAAAATTTAACCAAACGAGGATAACTGGGACTGCGATTTCAAAAATATTCACTGTATTGAAATTGTTTCGTCTTAAACAAGGTACTGCATCAATGCAAGGATTAAGAGGGCATTCATTTGCAACCATATGTATTATTATATACTGGGAAAAGGGCCAGATTTATGGAAGATTCTGTTTTACTTATTCGAAATGAATACTCTGAGTAAGATCTAAATCCATCAACGGACGATGGCAGTAAAGCTGTGTGTATGCAAGTAATCATTGCTGTTCGATACTTCATTCAATTTAAAATAGACTCTCTGAGTAACGTGGAAACGTGCACTAACAGTTTGTAACTTTTACGCACATAGCTCATCAAACCTTGTTTTCCTTCCCATTTCAGAGCTGTCAATGTGCTGCTTATTTTATTATTGGGTTTAAAATTCGGAACTAAATTATCGGTCAAATTGGTCCTGATAGGAATGATGGTGAGTTTTGAAAAGCATCAATGGCATGAGTTGACTTCACCTACTCATGATCAATTCGTGTCTGTTGTACCAGTTACTTGAAAGTCGAAACCTTTCTTGTAATGAGATTTTCAAATGTAAACAGTGTGAAGTGGGGGATTTCCAAGAAAACGTTTTTAATCTTAGCCATTACCTTTTGTGGTACTTACCATTTACCACAGTAACGTTCAAATGGCTTGCAAACTTGTGTGATAGAATTCAGTCAGCAATATTCAGAAGGAGATATACTCTATTGGTACACACCTTTCTTACGGTAGATTAAACTTCGACTCGAACAGCTGGATACTATTCTATTTTTTCAAACTGTGGAACTGAATTTTTCAGACAACGTCGGTTGCTTCAAGAATGTTGGGTTGCTACAGCGATGAAGACAAGAAGCCCGAAATGTGATTTTGTAATTTTGCGCAGATTTTCACCGGTTTTTGAAGCAGAAATAATTGTTCCTTTTAACCTATTTAAAATAAATTTTCGTGTAATTTCACGTGAAATGGAGATTTTATATCAGTTTGATGAACAAAATATTTTTATTGCTATTTACCTGTTCAAAATCTTCAAATTGCTTTACCGACAGGTTTTTCTGTGGTCAGCAGAAATCATTCTGATGTGTTGTGACTTCCAAAAGTCATGTTATATTTTAATTGGCTTCGTTATTCTCGAAGACTTCTTGACTATTATCTTCTGCTCCTTGACTAAAAGATTCAAGAAAGGAGTAACAATTGCACTATTGTGCATTACAGTGGCTTGTTTCGTGGTTGCTTTATGTATGATTTATATAGAAGAGCTGGGTGTAAGTGAATTGAAATGTAAAATAAAATTCTCTATTTTCACATTTACTCCTGTAATCACCTGAATTATTGTAATGTGTTTATTTCCCATGTAGAATTCCAGATATCTACTAGTCTCTACATATTCTTTAGCTTAAACAACCATACATCGACAGGTTGATAAGAATCAGATTAGAGTAGTTCTCCAGCAATTCAAAAATAGCAGTGTATTCGAAACAGTAACTCAGTCATTTGATATGAATATAATCAATGATATAGGACGATTGTATCACGAAATTTTAAAAATGTGGCACTGAAATGCGACATAAAGAAAGATTTAGTGCTCCTTATTTCATCACACCTCCCATGAAATCCCATACTCCAGTTCATACACTGTTTGCAGTCCTATTTCACCTAGCACCATTGATTTTACAAATCAAGTACTAAGAATTTTATTATGCGTTTGATCTGTTAGAATTCCTGCTCAAAATTCACAGTGTACTTCACTTCAACATATTTCAGCGAATTTCGCCTGAATTGGCCGGCGGCATTTTGAACACTGCTGTTGATTTGGTAAGTTAAAATTAATGATCTTCAATTTGTGAAAACGTTTTCCCAATCGAATTTAACCCCAGTAAATTGATTTCAACAGATCAGGAATATCGAAAGCAAATTTTGAATTCACGAGACTTTATGGTGCTGGTAGTGCGTCAGTGGCTGAGCAGTAGAATACCAACTAACCACACACATTGTTCTAATTTCCATTTTTTCCTCCAATAGTAACCTTTACTAAGATGGTAGGTTGGACATGTGGCTACCAACCCTTCCCCATAAAAAGTAAACATTAGTGCTTTAGAGACTTTAAGGTTGAGGTTTGAACCCCTGTACTGAGCTTGGATTAAAGTTTTAGAAGTATGATATAAGTAAAATTACCGCAACTTTTCAACCATATTTCAATCAGGATCAACTGTTCACTTTATTCATTTTTGTGAAACATGAAATGCTTTACACTCAGCAAATAAAAAAACTGGCGCAATATTAATTGGAATTTTAAAAAGTCCATGTTGTCATATTTGTTGTTGTCTCTTTTTTAGTTAGCTCTGCTTTTCACCAGCTGTCTCAAATAAATTGGAAATTAGAGGACACTCAAGAGCGTAATTCATATTTTCTGGTGAAATACATATCACATCGACTGTTACTGAATGAATGTACTACAGTGGACATTTTAAATGTTTAATATAACTCAATATTTGTGCACTAAATTTTCCACTTTTATTTGCGCTCAACAAGTTCTTAGCTGAAATTTTAAGTTGTAGCAATGAAGATATTGTAATGATCCCGATTTTTTATTATTAATAATCACTCTGAGTTTCACAAAGCTTCTAGTAAAAGATTATAAGTACTTAAAATGCCTGGACTGATATCAGTATACAAGTATTCCTTACACAGATCAAATATTTGCAAAATAATTCTTAGTCTCAGGATTAATTATGTGTGAAATGATGCTTGTATGTATGAATATTCAAAATAAAATATTATTTATTATTATTATTATTGTATCCTTTAGTTCCTAGAGGAACATAGGGCTTCAGCTGCGCTCCTCCATTGCCTTCTGTTTGAAGCCAACTTTTTCACCCCGCTTCAGGTCTGTCCACAGCTTTCATCTCCTCCTCGCATGACCTCCTCCAAGCCACCCTCACACTGACGACCAACTCGCCTCTTCCCTTCCGGATTCCACTAGAGGGCTTGTCTAGTGATGTCACTTGATGGTTTCCTCAGCGTATGGCCAATCCATCTCCATTTCTTCCTGCCCATTGGTTTCATAATCGGTTCCTGATTGGTTCGCTCCAAGAGATCCTGTCGCTGATCTTTTCTGGCTGGCCATCTGATCTTGAGTATTGAGCGGAGACAGCTGTTAATGAAAGTCTGTAGTTTGTTTGAGGTGCTCCTTATGAGCCGCCAAGTCTCTGATCCGTATAGTAGCACTGACTTCACATTGGAGTTGAGAATCCGGATCTTATTTTTGATGTTGAGTAGTGTTGATCTCCACACAGATTTGAGAGTAATGAAAGCTTGTCTTGCTTTTCCGATTCTGGCTTTGATACCCTCGTCAGTTCCGTCGGCCTGTAGTTGAGACGATGCTTCCTAGGTAGGTGAAGGAGGCTGTTTCTTTCAGGTTCTTCACATTTATGCTGATTGTTGTCTGTTGTTGTTGTTGATGACGTTGGCCGGGAATCTCCATCACCTCTGTTTTATCTATGCTCACTCAAAGTCTTATCTTTGATGCTTCTTCTTCCAACTTGTTGCTTTTCACTTGCATATCTTCCAGTTTGTGGAAAATCAGACATATATCATCGGCGAAATCCAGATCCTTCAAGTATTTTGTGTCAGTCCATTTTATGCCTGTTCCCTCGTTGGTTGCCGTTGTCTGTCGCATTATCCAATCAGTTGCAATCAGGAAGATCATTGGTGATAGTAGACAGCCACCTTGCCTCACTCCCATCCTCACTTGGAATGCTTCCGTAAGTTTCCCGTTGTGCATTACGTAGCATGCAGCATTGTCGTATAACTGTTGCATGAGATGTATAAGTGTCGATGGGACCCCGTAGTAGCTAAACAGTTGCCAAATGACCTCCCAATCCGAGCTGTCGAAGGCTTTTTCAGAGTCGATGAAGTTGAGATAGAGAGGTGACTGCCACTCCAAGCTTTGTTCATTGATGATCCGAAGAGAGGAGATTTGATTAATACATGATTTGTTTCTCCTGAATCCGGCCTGTTCCGGACGAAGTTTTTCATCTAGGTTGGCTCGTTTGATTCTCTTCAGGATGATGCAACTTAGTACTTTGTTTGGAATGGACAGGAGCATGATTCCGCGTCAGTTTTTACATTGAATTAAATCTCCTTTCTTTGGTAGTTTGAATAAGTATCCGTTCTTCCAATCTTCTGGCACGTGGCCCTCCTTCCACACCTTCTCTCTTCTATTGGTTTCCAAGTGTTCGTAGTGAGCCACTGTTTGTCCTGTCTCTTCTTTCTGCCTAGAACTTCTATGCAGGTTTGACTCCACACCGTTTTCAAGTTGTCCCAGTGTTTTTCGACGCCGAACTTTTCGCTGGTGTTGATATGTGTTTCGGCTTTGTCCATTATGCTTGCAATGAAGATGTCCTTTGTAGCCTAGTCCTTCAGCTTTTGAGTGTTGAACTTGGCTTGTGGTCTATTTGCAGCTCCTGTTTCCCTGAAAGCCTTTAATTTGATTCGGATTGTCCCTTGTAAGAGATAGTGGTCTGAGCCAACGTCTGCTCCTCTTCTTACTTTTGTGTCCAGTGGGCTGCGCCTCCACTTCCTTGAGATTGAGATGAAGTCAATTTGGTTTTTGGTTTGCCCGTCTGGTGACACCCATGTAGCCTTGTGGATATCTTTGTGTTTGTATAGGCTGCCACCAATCACTAGTTCGTTGAAGGCGCAGAAGTCGGCGAATAGTTCTCCGTTTTCATTCATTTCTCCGAGAGCTTCTCTACCCATGATGAGTTGTCTTCCTGAGTTTTCTGGTCCCAGTTTGGCGTTCATGTCTCCTATTAGTATTTTAATGTCTCCGGCTGGAGTATTGTCCATTGTTGCCTGCAATTGTCTGTAAAATTCTTCTTTCTTTTCGAGATCTGCGTTGTTTGTGGGTGCATAACATTGTATGATTGACACTCTCCTTCCTTTGGACTTGAATCTGGCGGTCATTATCCTGAATGAGATCGGCTCCCATTGCATCAGGGTCTTTGTTGCCGTTGGTGACATCATAATAGCCACGCCCTCGGTGTTGGTAGATCACTCGTTAGCAATTTGGTGAGTCCACTCCCATTCCATCTGCTTTCACATATTCCCAGCACTTGGATTCCGTATCTTTTCATCTCGTTTGCGATCTGTGCAGCTTCTCCTGTCTCGTACATAGTGCGGACGTCAATAAATAAATATTCATAATAATAAATTATATTAATAATAAATATTTCCATAGTAAAATTTAGAACAACGCATTTAAGCGAACAATATTGTTTTCAATTAGATCTCATCAGGTGTAACGCTAATATACATAAGTTTTACCAATAAAAATTCAAAAAAAATCAATCATCGTGTTCTGTCTATATGATAACAGGATGGTCAGTGTAATTTGTGTAATTAGTCATAATAGTAGTAATAATAATAATGGTCTTATCAATAATCAGGATGAATATTCATCAATATAAGCCTCATTTCTGAATGTTGAAAATGACCGTTTTGTTGGGTTAACTTTCTCTCTAGGTACGTAATTAAGGTAAAGGACAATTTAAATTCTGTAAGTTTGAATTCATTTCCGGTGAAGTTACCTTAGTATAACCTGTAGTGTATCACTAACGTACCGTCACCTTTATTGATAATATCAGCGCAGTCAGTGATAGACATTATTATTAGTGTAGCCTTTATTTAGTAGAGGAACATAGGACTTCAGCTGTGCATCACACCAAAAAGATACTAGCGAGAAACCATTAAAGGTGAACTAATCTTACGGCAACATAATGGCAGCGAAGACCAATAGTTATATGAGTTAAATTAAAAAAACAATCAACTATTTACAGATTTATTCAACTCATTCCTTAGACTTTGTTTCGTAGTGCTTTGAAGTTGTGGTGAATGCCTTAATTCACTCCAAAGTTCACTTTGTGTAAACCATCTAATAATTTCATGCTTATTCATATAATAATCACAAATTTATCACAATTACATTACAGTGATTTTTTATCTACTTCGGAATATCACCAGTAACACAAAGAAGTTATCACCGTGTGCATACTACTGAAATATACCTATTATTTTATTTGATCTATTCCACAATACACAGTCATTTCACATCCTGCTATTTGATGAAAAGCTGTGAATTTACAGAAAAATGGACTGTAAATACAAACAATAAGTAGTGTTCTAAAACGTGTTCAACTTTTTTCCTACCTATATGTTATTAGCTATTCACGTTCAAATTATCACTAATGTAGAAACAGTCAGC